CAAGAAGACGATTGGGACGGGCCAGCTCCGTGATGGGCTCTATTATCTTCGTATGTATGGTGCTGATGGATCTCAAGCTTTGGCGGCCAGCGGTGACACTGGAATGGGGGAGCTTTGGCTTGCTCGGTTGGGTCATCCGTCACTGAAAAAGACACCTTTGTTATTTCGTTCAAGTCAAAATAAGTGCAGTAGTGAGACCTGCGATTCTTGTATGCGTGCTAAACAGACACGATTACCTTTTCCTAGACATTTGATAAAAACCAGTCGTTGTTTTGAGCTTATTCATGTGGATATTTGGGGCAGTTTCAAGGTCCCCACTCAGAATTCAGCTCGCTATTTTCTCACGATTCTTGATGATTTTAGTAGAGCCACATGGGTTTACCTCATGTCTTACAAATCGGATGTTGAAGGGTTTTTAAAGATGTTCATTAATATGGTCATGACTCAGTTTGGTCAGCAAGTGGCACGCATCCAGGCTGACAATGGGTTAGAGTTTCAGACAGGCAGTCTGCGTACTTTTTATGAGGATAAAGGCATTGTTCTGCAGACCTCTTGCACCGACACTCCTCAGCAGAATGGGGTGGTCGAGAGGAAACATCGGCATTTACTTGAAACAGCTCGAGCTCTTCGATTTCGAGCAAGTTTGCCTCTGAAGTTCTGGGGTGATTGTGTCTTGACGGCGACTTATTTAATTAATCGCCTGCCCTGCAAAGTTCTGCAGGATCGTTCTCCGTACGAAGTTCTGCTTGGAAAGGCGCCTTCTTATGATCATCTTCGTGTCATGGGGTGTTTAGCATATGGCAAAGACACTCACAAAGGAATATCTAAGTTCTATGAACGCGGCAAACGTTCAGTATTTATGGGGTACCTAGCTTTCCAGAAGGGTTACCGCCTATTTGATCTCACATCTCGGTCCTTTTATGTCTCTCGGGCTGTTCGCTTTGTGGAGAATGAATTCCCATTTAGTGAATCCACGTCCCCACCTTTGCCACAACCTGCTTCTTTGCTGGTGCCTGCTGTAGAGGATGGTGAAGATTCTTTGCACGTGGCATCACCTGAAAATGGTAATGCAAACCCCTCGTCGTCCGTTTTGCATGACCATGCAAGTGAGCAGCAGCAAGGTCGCCCGTCCCCAGTAGCCGAGCAACGCCCTGGCCTCACGACCACGCCCGAACCCGCGCCTCTTGATCCGCCGGCCGTTGCTCCCCGTCGCAGTGATCGCATCCGCCAGGTTTCTCGGCGGTTAGATGGATATGATGTTCAGTTGCCTCCATCTAATGTGCAGTATCCTATGTCACATTATGTTAGTTATGACACCTTCTCTCCCAAGCATCAAAGCTTCTTGGCCGCAGTCTCCAGTCAGGTTGAGCCCACGAGTTTTCGCGAGGCAGTTCAGTATGAAGAGTGGCGGATTGCAATGCAAAAGGAAATTGACGCGTTGGTTGGTAATGGCACTTGGACTTTGGTCAGTTTGCCTCCTGGCAAACGTGTAGTTGCTTCGAAATGGGTCTATAAAATTAAGTTCAATTCCGATGGTTCTGTTGAGAGGTACAAAGCACGCCTTGTCGCCAAGGGCTTTACTCAAACAGAGGGAATTGATTATCATGATACTTTTGCCCCGGTGGCAAAGTTGGTCAGTGTTCGTTGTTTGTTGGCGGTAGCCGCGGTTCGTGGCTGGGCAGTTCATCAACTTGACATTGATAACGCATTCTTGCATGGGGATCTTCATGAGGAAGTGCATATGCAAATTCCACAGGGGTTTGCAGCTCCTGGTGATTCTCGTGTTTGTCGGCCTTACAAGCCCATCTATGGACTCAAGCAAGCCTCTCGTAATTGGTATGCTAAGCAAGCCTCTCGTAATTGGTATGCTAAGTTTGCTGCTACGCTCACTGGTCTGGGATTTACACGTTCTAGTGCCGACTACTCTTTGTTTGTACGACGCAGCCGTGGTACATACGTTGTTGCGCTCATTTATGTTGATGATGTCATCCTGGCAGGTGATGATATGGCCTTCATTCAGCTGGTCAAGGATGCTCTCCATAGTCAGTTTGGAATAAAAAATCTGGGGCCACTTCAGTACTTCTTGGGAATCGAAGTTGCTTGCTCCCGTGCAGGTATTGCACTGTGTCAACGTAAGTACACTTTGGATCTTCTCCGTGATAGTGGTTTTTCTGGTGGTCGTCCGAGTGTTTTTCCTATTGAGCAGCATCACCAACTCACTCGACATGATGAACATGCTATGCTGGTTCCTCCGGATGATGCTACTGCTTATCGTCGTCTTATTGGTCGGTTACAGTACCTCACAGTCACCCGCCCAGACATTGTTTATGCAGTCAATATCCTCAGCCGCTACGTCCACGCGCCTACGTCTGCGCATGTAGCTGGTGCTGAGCGTGTTCTCCGTTACCTCAAGAATGCACCGGGTCAGGGCATTCTTCTCCCTTCGACTGGTCCTCTTCACTTGACGGCTCATTGTGATGCCGACTGGGGTGGCTGTTAAACCACTCGTCGGTCGACTTCTGGTTACTTCATCACCCTCGGTGGTTCTCCGGTTTCTTGGCGGACCAAGAAGCAATCGGTTGTGGCACGATCATCTGCTGAAGCTGAGTACCGCGCCATGGTCAACACTGTTAGTGAGGTTATCTGGCTCCGCGCTCTTCTCAGGGATATGGGTGTCGCTAGCACTAATCCCACAGTTCTTAACTGTGACAATCAGGCAGCTCTCCACATTGCTGCCAACCCCGTATTCCACAAGTGCACGAAGCATGTTGAACTCGACTGCTACTTTGTCCGCGATCATGTCACCTCCGGTGAGATTCGTCCTCGGAAAGTCCACACTGCGGTTCAGCTTGTAGATTTGTTCACTAAAGGTCTCGCCAGGGATCATTTTCATTCTCTCTTGTCCAAGCTGGTCATTTGTAGCCTGCATGTCTCAGCTTGTGGGGGAGTGAAAGGATAGTTATACCTATCCTATTCTTAGTACGCAGCCGTGTGTTGGCTTTAGGGGTTTCATTGTCTTTTCCCCTTTCAGCGGCAGGTTTTATGTAACCCTAGGAAACTAGTTGATTAGGGTTATATATATATATATATGTTGTAAGTGTATCGGCCAAAGACTAAGAATGAATAAGCTGAGATAGCACAATTTCTCCGTGGAGTAAGCTCATTCACACCGAATGAAAAGAACCACGTAAATATCGTCTCGTGCGTTTGTGTTTTGTGTTCTACAATTATTTCACTTCTTGTGAGGAGTTCATGATGAGGCTAAGAGAAAAGCTTCCATAGCATGGAGTGGTCTTAACTTACCAAAAAACGAAGGAGGGTTGGGGATTAGAGATCTGCTCAGTTGGAATCAAGCCTGTGTGGTAAGACATATATGGGATCTTCTGCTTAAGCATGGTTCTCTATGGGCAGCTTGGATGAGAGCATATAGACTGCACCATAATGATTTTTGGCTATTGGAGAGCAATTCTAGGTCATGGATCTGGCAAAAAATCCTTAAGCTACGAAGTAAGGTTCATGGGATTCTTGATGTTAGAGATAATGAAGGCTACTGGCAATGGCAGTTTATGAAGAAATTTTCTATAAAGTTAGTCTGGGAATTATTCAGGCCTAAAGCTGCATAAGTCTCCTGGTTTAAATTGTTATGGAGAGAACCTGTTATCGGAAGCAATCAATTTCTCTGCTGGCAAATTGTGAAGGGGATTATCACAACTTGTGATAAGCTGTTGTCCTGGGACTATCAGGGTGCTTTTAACTGTGTATATTGCAGCTGCACTGTTGAGACTCGTGACCACTTGTTCTCGCAATGAACTCGGTATACAGAATTATATTCGTATTTCTTCAGCAAGTTCACTAGCAGATCCCCTTCTAACAGGTGGGAATCGGAGCTTCAGTGGGCTGTTTCATCTTTTTCTGGATCCGCACTCTGCACGAAAGCTGGTAGGCTACTTTGGCAAATTCTTATTAGTGGCATTTGGAGAGATAGGTGCGCTATTAGACATGGAAGAAGATTCCCCAGGTTTCTGAAGTAGTCAACAAGGTCAAAGAGGACCTTGGTGTGTTGTGTTCCCCTTCTGAAATTGCAGTCTTTTTGTAGTACGATTTCTTTCTCCCCTTCTTGGCTCCTACACTATAGTTGATAGTTGATAGTTTATATTCTGATGAGATTTTTACCTAGTGGCTAGGGTTGTGCACACCTGTCACGCTCTTTAGCTCACCCTCATGGCGGACGATGATGACATTGATGAGCACATTATTATGTTCATGATGATTATTATTAGATATATTAATTCGCAAGTTTTGGTTTAAGGGGTCTGGGCATATGCTGGCGGGTCTACCGCAAGTTTGGTGCGCCCCCAGCCCCATTTCTTTCCCTTTTGTCGTTCGCCTGGCGATTGGGCAAGTTTCATCCCTTCCCTCTTGCCCTCTGTCGAATCTCTGGAGCCGAGAATCGAAGAGCCAACACCAAACTTCTAATTGCCCAAACTTCTAATTGCCGATCAGATGAGGTGGATTCCGATAGAGTTATGTGACTTCCGTGGTCGAGTTCTGTGACTTCTGTGGCGGCTGGCGAAGTTGGGTTCGGAGATGGATCGTGTTTCCCCATCTCCCAGCCGAGAATCGAAGAGCCAACACCAAACTTCTAATTGCCGATGGATTCCGATCGAGTTCTGTGACTTTCGTGGCAGCTGCCGAAGTTGGGTTCGGAGATGGATCGTGTTTTCCCCTCTCCCAGCAAACTCTAATCAACCAGATCACTCTCTGAAATTCCCTTCATTCCCTTCGGTCTCACCCCTACCAATTCCTCCATCCTAACGATCCGGTCTCTTCCCCTTTTTTTCCCGCTGTCTCACCCCTATCAATTCCTCCCTCCTATCGATATGATCTCTTCCCCGTTCTCCTGACCCGACCGATCGGTGGCTAAGAAAGTGACCACCTTCGTTCTCTCCGTTATTCGGAGCTGCGGTAGATTGGCGGTGAGCCATACTTCCATATTCGAGAGAAAGGTAACTCCATTCATCCATCTTTTGGCGGCTAGCCAAGCCAACTCCACCGGTCGTCCGTCTTCCACCAGAGTTCTTCCAATCGATTCGTCGAATCCCCATCAAGATATGCAAAGAAGAACAAAGGAAAGCAGCCGTAAGCTTCCAGCAGGTGCTATTGTTGTCCAGTTTTTTCCTCTTTAGTTTTTTGCTTTGATTCTGATGTTGGGTTTTAAGATGAAACGGTTCCCAATTGGTGATTTCTTCTATGTTGATGTTACTGATGGCCATCTGAACGTATTTTGAACTTTAAATTCTCATGGGTTAGGGATAGACTCAAAGATTTGGATGAGTCGCATATTCTGCTCAGTCACTTGATCAATTGACATTGCTTTCTTTCCTCCTGTTTGGATTCTTAAAAGGTATTGAAAATTGAATGTCCAGGTGGAGATAGGTTTTATGATGTCATTTAACATGTTACATAGTTATGTGGGTTTCTCTTAAAATGATTGATGAAATCATGTTTTAGTTTATTCGTTGCTTTGGCTTATGGGGTTCCTTTGGAGCTGAGCTTAAGAGAACTTTTGCATGCCAAGTCTAATTATGATGATCACCTTTTTGTTGTGTTTTGATGTTAAATTTTGAACTCTTTTCATTAGTTTGTCCACTAAAAAATGCCAAGTCTGCTCTTTCAAATCACAATTAAACTAATTTGCAAGTGCAAGCTCCACTACTTAACCTTAAAACTTGATAGGTCGGTTAGGATTTAAGGATTAATCTTTAAGACTAACGCTTGATACGCAACTCGACAATCCGCTTGATACGTAATTTTTGATTCATGAATTCTTTATATGTGTCTGATTCCCTATTCATATGTCACAGGATGAGCAATTACCTGATTCCCTTGGTTTTGGCATGATATATGAATTGGAGATTTGAGTCGAGCGTCCCAATAGAACACCTATAGATGTGTTATCTCCCTCAACATCCTCTTTGGCGTTGTACGGGGTAAGAGGTAATCATCTAAATGCCTTTAAATCAATGGGACAAATTATGTAGCTGGTCTGCTACTTGAGTTAAGTATCAGATGGGGAATGGGGAGTAACTTAAGTGTTTAAGTAGTTTGGGCAATCATCAAACATGCATATACTATGATAATTGCCTGTGAAGGGTTGGATTCCATGTATAAATTAATTAGGTTCAATGCGAATTATGTACAATTATGTATTTCATGAGTTTTGATGGTGCCAAGCGAATCTCTTGATAATAGGTTATATCATGTACTCTGCTATTGTAGTCAGTTTAATGGTTACTGATGCTATGCTGCATCACTGCCAATGGTTATTGATTATATCATCTACTCTAGAAATGATTATCATGTATATGCTAGAGGCAGATACCTTTGTTCTTCATGCTACTTCTTACCTTCAAAATAACCAAAACCATTCAACAAGCTACTAACTCACCAATCAATACGAATTTCGCTGCAATATATGTGAACAGATTTTGCAAGGTAATGGACCAGTGGAAAGCACAAAGGCAAGGAGAAGCAGATCACCAAGAAATTTTCATTTATGTACTCTTAATAAGACAGTTACAAATTAATATGTACATGAACTGCTTCTACATATTATTCCAATTATGCATTCTTTGTTCTTTGTTCATAATATGTTCTTCGTCCAAGCTTATACAAACATGTGTTTTGATCGAAAAACATAAAAACAAACCTGCCTTCTGTGTTTATTAAAACGACTGTGTTTTAGAAAAAGCCATATTTATCAATTAAAGTGAACTGGGCTTACATTTCTATTTAACAAACTTCCGTTGGCTAGCTACACGACATCTCCTAGGTTAGTGGGTTTAAGCTAAATTTGTGGCCTTGCTACTGATAAAACTCAATTAAACATAATTAAGTAGACTTTTCGGATGAAAGTCTTTGTTTCTTATCATCTTCAATCAAAGATTTCCTTTATAAAAACTAGAAATTGCGAACAAGAAATATGTAAGATAGCAGGTGCAAATTAAAGACGTGTGGCCCATCAGGATTAACAACTCTTCGTCTTCCGTATACGCGGAGTTTTTTTTATGGTTAATGGGCAAGTAGTTAGATAGAAGAAGATGATGTCGTTGCTCTTGGTCGGCACGATTCTGATCCTGACCGAAAGCCTCATCGTGAAAAAAAACTGAATTAGGTTGCGGACAGTCGCTTGCCGTTCATAGGGACCCGTGCCATTGTTCAACCCACCATAATAAAATTACTGTGTACGTCACTGCCTGCAATGTGCTGCAATCTTTGTAACAATAGCATACCATTGTTGTGTTCTTTAAACATATCACAACGTTAGAACTATTGTTACAGATTTCATTCCCATACAAATTCATTTATATTCCGTGATATGAACATACCCGTCGCAACGCGCGGGCCATTTTTCTAGTAATATATAATTGGAGATAATTGAAATGAAGCGGATAAAAGGAAAGAGATAATGATTATTGAGGAAAATGTTTTAAAGCATTAGTAGTTTAGTTTGTGTTTTTATTGTACAATTTTTATTTTTATTTTTAACGTTATGATATAACAATAAATTGTATCTATACTCTGTTGTATAAATTTATTCATGGTACAAACTAAAATTGTAACTTTATGTTATGGTACAAATTTGAACTGATTTCCATCCGATCCGCACCTAAACAACAAAAAAATCGACCTGGACAAAACATGTTGAATTCGGTGTCGATGAGCTTTGTTTGAGACCATTAGAATTAGCATAAAATGCACCCCAGAATCACAGTCAAATTTCATAGTAATGGTTTCATTTGTGTGTTCGGTTGAGGTCGTGGATCCAGGGATTGATGTATCCCTACAGGACCTATCAAGACCGTTTGTGAAATTTACTAAGCCTTGAAGTGGATCCATTGGTGCTAAAAGAGAAAAGTGGACTTGGACTAGCCATGTGTCTCTATCTTTATTGTCAAGCTAGGAAATGTTGATTATCATGGAACTTCAAATATAATCACAGTGCAACATAAACACAGGCTAGCAAACCGGGTCACTAAAGCCCGTGGAATGCCGCTGCAGAGCGTGACACAACACCAAACTAGTAATTATTATTATACTAAATATAATTAAAGGTACAAGTACTTTACTGTTGCACAAGAGTTCCTCTAACCTGCACTACTGTCATCTAACTTTGCTTGCTTGCGAATATTTTGTCAACACATGGCTATTTTAGTGATCAGTAGAGGACAAAGTATTATTTCTTCTTTTTGGTTTTGGCTAATTCATATGAGAGTTGGTTTTTTTTTTATTTAGAGTTTTATTAAATTAACCTATGTTCAAAATTTAGCATTAGAGTATTTTGTACTAAAATTATAAAATTATAGTTAAATCGTGGTTAAATAAGGGTTGACACATTGTTCCAATCCGAGTCTCGATTTATGTTTAGAAAAAAATAAAAATTATAAAACCATAATGAAGGTCGTACCGGTAAAGTTAACATTAAGGTATTTTGTGCTAAAATCGTGATTAAATCAGGCTTGACACGTTGCTCCAACCCGAGCCTCGAAGCATGTTCATAAAAATAAAAAATATTAAAATCATACCGAAGGTCGTACCAGAAAAATTAGCATTAGGTCATTTTGTACTAAAGATGTACTTTAGCTGTGATTAAATTATTTCATAAAGCTAAAATCACCTATCCATTTAGATTCCGTTAGAAGTTTTTCTATTGCACCCCCATTACGGTACAATCGTAGTTCAAGCATGGTTACATCAGACTAGACGCATTGCTCCAACCCGAGTCTCGATTTATCCTAAGAAAATACCTAAAATGGTACAACCGTACCAAATGTCATACACAAAAAGTTAGCATTAGGGTCTTTTGTGCTAAAATCATAATTATATCGTGGTTTAATCAGCCTTGACACGTTTCTCCAACCCGAGCATAAATTTATGTTAAGAATAACAAAAAATTGTAAAACCATTCCTAAGGTCATACTGAAAAAGTTAGCATTAGATTACAGTTGCTCTAACCGAGCCTCGATGTACATAGAAAATCCAAAAATTGTAAAACCACACCTAAGGTTGTACCAGTAAAGTTAGCAATATGATATTTTGCGCTAAAATCATAGTTCAGTCATAATTAAACCAGGCTCGAGACGTTGCTCCAACACGAGCCTTGATGTATATTCAGAAAATACCCAAAATTGTAAAACCATATCGAAGATAGTACAACAAATGTTAGAATGAGGACATTTTAGCTAAAATCGTAGTACTATCGTGGTTAAATCATTATATACGGCTAAAATCACCTATCAAGTGAAATTCTGTTAGAAGTTTCTATTATACCGCTGCTAAACACGGTCATAAATCATATAAGGGTTAACAAACAATTCTTCTGATCCTATTAAGAGTTGCAGCGAAGTGACCATAATCTACCTAGTTTTATAAAAAAACGTAGTGTTTTTGTCGGATTTTTGGCATAGGCCAGGTTCCAATATACTCCATATCCTAATCCTAACATCAATATAAGGAGTTTCTTTGGCAGAACCCCTTTAGTTTCTCTTTTCCTGCATTGTGCGCAATGCACGGAAGGTGAATTTTGTCAATCGACAGGACCGCCAATTAATTGTTTTCCCTCCATCGAAGTCCATTACAGCTCACTGGGCGGTAGACTGAATTGGGCCGCCAGTTAGTTGTTTCCCTCCATAGAAGCCCATTACAGCTCGCGTCTCCAGCCTCTGTAGCTACCGGAAATCGAACCTCACCGCGGAGCCTGTCTTTCGCATCCCCCAACTCTCTTGCTGCCGGCCGGACCAAACCTCACCTCCTCTCTCGCTGGCGGCCGGGATTTCCACATCGCAGCTGTCTTAAAAGCGTAAGTTTCATTGGTTGATTCGCTGTGTGTCGGTGTAGGGAGCTACTCCCTACAACGCCTTTCATTCCGCACCTTTGCTGGGGTAGACTGCATGTACTCAAAACCCACTTATGGCGGCCAACTAAGATACTAATCTCCATGGTTCTATAGGAGAAGGAACCCAAAATTTTAGGAGTTGGATGCAAGGCCAAAAACCATATCTATGTTTTAATCAATAGTAGGCAAATGAGATTTGGGAGGATAGAGGAAGGGATTCAAAACTGAACTCAAAACCAGATGGAGAGTGATGGTGGGAATGCTTTTTGAAGACAGAAACTGAAAATAAGCATTACATGCATGATTCAAGCCGCATGCAGAATCCCAGCTCCATACTAAAACTCAATTGAATAGGAGTGGCCGAAATTAACATGCAGAGCTCGGTCGGCTACACCGAATTGACGATTTCCCGTTCAAATGCTTTCAAAGGCATATTGAGAAAGTGTATATATACACCCAACTCTTTATCCCCTCTGCTCTGCAATTGATCTCGAAATCAATCCTCCTCCGACGCTCCAGAGTCAAACATGCAAATTAAGAAGAAGGAAATAGCACTAACAACGGAATGTGGTGGAGGACCATCACATTCACCTCCGCTCCATTCACCTTATTCTCACTATGGGCCTGGGACTGGGTATCTAACTAATGCAAGGGAAATTGGTGGCAAGGAAAAGGAGAATGGAAGACAAGTGGTTGAGGTACATTTGTTGCATGGTTGGGAGACCTACACGTGTAAATCAAAGGTAAATTTTTGTTAGTGGAAGCCAAATCTACTGGTCCTCTTGCTTAGGTCATATGAATTAGATTAATCAACCCCTAGCTAAAATAGGAGATAAAGTAGGCCCAGATGCTTACATCTACTTCGTTATTAATTGTCAAATCCGGTTTAGCCTATTGGCCCATTGAGCAAGGAGGTTGAGAGTTAATAGTTTGATCGCTTTGTCCTAAATTAGTATGAATATATATAAAAAAAGTCATTATAGCATTCATACATTTATAAATTGTATCAAATCACATCTATTTATCTAACACGTGGATAATAACATATCACATTAAACAAAAATAATCGTTCGTACTTGATCTAATATATAATGAAAATTCAAACACACTAATATAACATCATCAATATTCAATTGGAAAAGTTTAGGATCATTTTAATGTTAAAATAACCAAATGGATCTTTCTGTTTAGTTTTTTTACTAACAAATATCAAACGATTCCCTATAAAATACACTATAATTAATCATTATGATATCAAAATCACAAAATATATATTTGAAATGATAAACATTGGACTAATCGGGTTGGTCGAGGTTAAACCATTTAATAAATTTAAATTATATTATATTTTAACCACTAAGATACAAAATAATAGCATAATATATGTTTCAAATTCGAAAAACTAGGCTAATCGAGTTGGATCCTAGGTTAACCATTTAACCCCTTCCGTGAGTTGATGAATGAATTGTTCCATCCGAATTAATAACTTTGACGAGAAGATGAAAGTTTTATAAAGAAAATTAATCGGCCAGCGGGCCGAGTAAAAGCTAGCAACGATTGTGAGATGCTCATTTTCCGAAGACCAGTGGGATAGGCGATTTTTTATTAGGTTTTCTGGAATTCGGTTTTTATAAAACTTACTCCACCTAACTTGGTTCATAAGCTTGATTTTTGATTCGTTGCATCATCCATGCCTATTTCCTGCTAAAATTCACTATCTTTATCACGTGTTTCAAAAAAACTATATAACAATAAGCTACACACCCTATTACATTCTCAAATTTCATACATCACTTTCCTCCGGCCAATT